GGGGGGCGAAGACCCATGGCTACCTCTTCCCGGAATCCGCCAGCGGCACAAGTAGGTGTTATTATGCAACATAAACATATCAGATAACAAAATAAGCAAACATGAAAAGTGTATTTCACAATGTGATTAGTATGAAAAGCTAATTATAAGAATTGTAAACGCTTTGGGCCGAGTTTAACAGATCTCGAGCAAATTGCTTCGGTGAGTCACCGACTTTCTTCAGCTTATTCTAGCTTTTATGCAGTTTCCAAAAAATTATGCACATGAGCACTACCTGTTGAAATATCCAAGCCATGTGAAAATATCCATCAGATAGTCCGGAACCAACTCGGTTTCCGTCAATCCACCTAAACTATTTTAATTTTTACTGGCAAAAAAGTTTTTTTTTTCAGTGCACGTAGTTTTTATTAATTATTCGTAGCTGACTAATGAAATCAAAAACTAAAAAAAAAAACTCCTACATTTGTAATTAGTTTGAGATGGCTCTTTTCTAGGCTTAAGTAAAACAGTTTCAAATTCCTACTAGGCTTTTCATGCCCTATTGACTAGCTTGGATTTTTGTAGAAACTAACACAATGAGTGGATAGCAAAGAATGGTGTCCAACACAAAATGAATGCACCGACAACGATTGCTAATGTTTTGGCAGCTTTCTGTTGCTTATGAAACGCTCGACGACGTTGCCGCTCCTTTTCCAAACCCCCATAATGTATTCGCAGTGGAAGCACAAAACGCATTCGTTCAGTGCCCCTATTTCTAAAAATTCATATAAGTTTATTAACAAAAGCAGAAAAAGAAAGAAACAAGAGCAAAGCATCGATAAACTGTCCAAATTCAGAAAATTATATGAGTATAATTAGGTAGTTTTGGATATCTAATGATGGTAAAGGATCATCGAAAAAGCATAGGTTTCTTTTTTTTCCATCAAAATTACAAACGTTGCCTGATTTGCCTGTTTTTCGCGCTTATATTTCTGTTAACGGCGTTACTTACGATTTTGAAAAAGCGAGAATGCAGTACAGATTTGACCTTCTTCCCTTCAATTAAAAAATCATTATTTTTTATGCTATCACATAATAGAGGCAAAACACTAAAACAATTCCAAAAAAGCCTCCATTGAGCTGTCAAGCACTATTTTTTTTTTTTGAGCGTTGACATCGGAAATGGAGGGATCCACAAGTTTGAAGTTATCGTTTAAAGGA